CTCTTACTACTACTAATAGTAGTTGTACTAAAAATACTATTTCTACCAGTAGCAGTGACCCAGCAACTGATATTACTACTCTTACTACTATAAGAAAACATACTACCAGTATTTATACTGCTATTAATACCACAACTACTAGTAATTTTACTACAAATACTACAATGACTAACAGTTTAGTAATACAGATGATAAAACTAGTAGTACTACTAACACTATTTTTCTACCGCTATTGATACTAAAACTACTACTTATTCTAATGCTAATATTACTACTGCCAAAATTACAATCACTACTAATATTACTACAAAATATATATATATTTAAATATTTTTTTAAGACTCAACTCAGCTTTTGTCATTTCTGAATTTTCAGCAATATTAAAATTTATCAATTTCTTTAGTATTTTTTATTCCAATATTTTTTTGTCCATTTCAGATTCTTCCATTTCTGTATTTCCACCAATTTCTTGTAATTTATTTAAGCTTTTCTCAACTGTGTATTTTCAGCCAATCTATTGAAGTTAATTTCAGCTTTTCTGATGTCTGTATTTTCATCAATATTTTGATATTTTTTCTTCTATAGTTGTTTCATTTCTTTATTTTCAGCAAATCTGTGGAAATTCCTTTCCGCTTCTCCCATTTCTGTTTTATCAGCAATTTCAAATTAATTTCAACTTTTCTAATATCTGTATTTTCAGCAAATGTATTAAAATTCCCTTAACTCTCTGTATTTTCAGCTATTTTCTGAAGTTCATTTCAGCTTTCAGCATTTTGCAATCCAACGCATTTTCAGCAGGAAATGCATTTTCTAGTTATTTTCATTATTCGATATGGTTTCTTCATGCAATGCATTGTGTTGTTTAGTGTAATCCAAACTTGTGTATGTTATGTTGGCTCTGTTCTGCATCACAAAGGTATCACTTTCATTGTTTACATCTATATTGGCCAAACAGTGTTGGAAGGTTTATTGTCAGTTATTATACTGTCTCCTAATTTGAAAAAAAGTTTTGATTTCCATTGTAGGAGGCAATAAATTGCGTATTCCAAAGAAATTGTGAGTTTTTTTGGGTCAAAAATTATATTTGTTGAGGTCTTAAAAAGCATTAAATTTTACTTTTGAAATGGTGCAGCTGCTCTGCTACTGCTCTGCTACTTCCGTCTCAACATTTAACGTTACCCTGCACGGCACGCAGAGAGTCTGCAGAGGGGCACCACTGTGTTTGAAAACATCCTTGCTAAATGTGGGGAGATTGTTGGCACTTCAAACACACCTGTGAAATTACGGTGAGTGAGAGCAATGAGAGTGCATGAGGATAGGTGAAAAAGTTGCTAATTCAACATGTTCAAGTTCCACCCGGTGGAATTCTGTCTCCAAGATGCGCAAATGTGAGTAGTTTTGTGTTAAAAATAACATTAACAATTAAACAACAACGGGGCACAAAATGTGCGATTAATTATTTAAAAAAAATCTATTGACATCCCTACATTAAATACATTTTCAAAAGCACATCCTTCTATAATGCCAGGTGAGAAGGGTGTTCTCCTGATGAGGCTGAGCACACACGTCTTGGACACGGCAGCTATCAGCTCAAACACACACCCGTGCTTCCACCTTTGAGATTACTGCTCTGATTCCCATCTCTCCCATCATGGGGACTTGACATTTAGTTACAAGACAAAAATTGTCTTCAAAAAGAACTCAAAGAAAAATGTTTGTGCCTGGCAGAGGAGGGAAAGGAATACAATTTATGTGGCTGACGGAGTGGAGCCAATGTAAAGATACTCTTATGATGTTTAATGACAACAAATGTCGCTTCAGCATCGACAGTCAATTTTTTTTTTCTGTGAAGACGAGATGTTTTGTTTTCATTCTTGCTGGGACATTTTTCCATGTTTGATATATCAGAAAGTAACTGCCAAGGTGTATCTAACTAACTATTCACTGGTTGACAGTTTCTGTGTAAATAAAATGTGTAAAACAGGGTGCAGATTCCTTTTATTGAATTATTTCAAAAGAAATGTGGTGAATGTATTTTTCTCCTGCCAGCAGCCATGTGAGCTTTTTAAAGTGCTGTTATGTCGGAAAGAAATACGATCGAGCCTTCAGCAGCCAAGGGCCTTGGTGACCGAATTTCTCGTTGGTTTTCCATTCACGGGCTCCGCGGGAGCTTTTCGGCCCAAAAGCTTGAAAGTCAAACTAGAGTAAAAAAAGTTGAACCCCAACTCCCCCCTCCTCCTCCTTTTGAGTCATCAGCAAAGGAATTTTAGCGACCCTAATCCATGTTGTGCACAGTTATTCTAACCCTGAGCCGGCACTCCAGAGAAAGAAAGTGGATGGGCGCTGGTGGCGAGCAGGCTGAGTTGCATGGCGTCATTGTTGTCTGACTTCAAAGATGCCTGCTCACCATGCTCTCTACTGAAATCCCCCAAAACCTGACAACATTAGAATACCATCGAACACTCTCTGACTGCCTTTGAAATGCCACTGATAATGTTTGGCGCTGGAACTTGCAGGCTCTAAAGATCGCACCCGTGTTATTGAAATAAATCTGTGGCTTGTAATGGGAACGGGAATGACACATTTTTCATGCTTTGGCTCAGAAGTGAGAGTTGAATATTGAAATGTAGTCTTGTTTTCCTGGAGAGTAGGTTTGTAGCTCTCCCTCTGTGTCCATTGTACCATTGCCTTTCCTGTCATTTTTTCTTAACCTTCTTTTTTTTCCCATCCAGACGGTAGAAAACGATTCTGTCCAGAGGGAACATTTAAAATGATCTGCAATGAGATAGATATACAAAAGAAAGAGGCCAGACTAAACAGTCACAAAGGTTAAGTGTACTGAATGAGTGACTTGATAGACTTCAGTCTATTGATTTTATTTTCCCAGCCGTGGACCTTTCCCATTTCACTTGGTGCTGGCTTGGTAGAAGATGGACATGTACGGATTTAAATCAAACAGCGTGCTGTTGTTTTTTTACAAGGTAAACCAGTGGGGAGGGCAACCGAGTGAGAAAAGCAGAGAATTAATGGCGGTAGGTGGGAGAGTCTTGCGAGCAACATGCGTCAAATTTAATTGAGAAACATGAATACTCTCACATCAGTGGTTTGCCATAGCCTCCCCTACTCTGCTGTTCTGTGCGAATTCAGACTCCCAATTATAAAGGCTGAATTACAGTGAGGGTTGTACTTCCCAGTCAGCACATCATTCCTGAAATGAAGGCATGAGATACTGTTTCAGATAGAACAATGAAAGTGTCTGCCCCGATGTAAAGCCGGTGTTGTCATACGATGACAACTTTGTAGAATAACAACAACGGGGGCATTTACTACGGATCTTAAGATGTCTGCATGAATCATGTACATGTACACACACAGACTGATTTATATAGACGCATACTGTCATGCTGACATGCATTTTACTGTAAATCAACAAAAACCTGCGACAGAGCTGGGAAGCTGGTTACTAGTGCTAACGTAGACTCCAGTTTAATTCTACATTACCCAGAATTCACTGGACATTATATAGTCTCTGAGCAGCAACTTTGCCATTCAAAAAGCAAATGTTGTATCTGTGTACACCACAGTCAAACAAACGTTTTCCTATGTTTAAAGAAAAATCAACTAGTTTTCCCATCATGCAATCAGATTTTCCCACAGAACTGCAGGGAACAGTTTGAGTTGTCCAGCTTGCTTCCTGCATCTTTTGTAACGGCTCACTGTGGCTCCTTCTTGTTCCGTGACTCCCAGCAATACTTAAAACAGCGCTATTGTTGAAAAATACAGAACAAAACCATGTCTGGTTTCATTGATTCATTTTTTTATGACCTTGGTGAAAAAAAAACCTCTCTTCCCCCCCAAAACTAGTATTCTAGCAGTTTTATACACTCCAGGGTAGCATGTGCGCAGGGGAGACTGGTAGTTAGTGTTTTATAATGGAAGTCTTTTAATGGAACCAGCATTTGAGAAATGAGAAGTTCAACACAAAACAAATATTTGAAGTGTGCCAACCTATAACCCAAAGAAGAGGTATTCTCATACATAATGTGCAAAATGACTTACTGTAACTTGAGAGATGATTGTAATAAATTGTATTTTTAAGGTATTGAGGATTCCACAACTTCATATCAATGCAGTTGAAAGTTGGTTTCCACTTTTAATGAGCTGGTTTAGTGGAGACGGTACACAGCCTTTGTTTTCAAAGAAGCGCCATACGATCCACTTCATGTGAGAAACTTCATGAATACGGCCTCAAATGTGAATCCACAGCGAGATGATGAATCCCCAATTTCTCAATTGGAAAATATTTTGTGGAATGTTTCCTCTCCTGTTTATGAGCCACTGCAGAGTTTCCTGTGTTACGTTAAGCTGAAGCACGGCTTCCATAATTGATGAGTCGTTTTGGGGATTGTCTGTCTGTCTGTCAGCGCGGAGGGTTGTGTGGGGGGGGGGCAAGGGGGATCGTGTTGCGTCACCGTCGGGAGTGTGTGAGAGCGATAAAGAGAGGATGGGTTTGGTTGAGTCCCGGGCCGTATCTCCCTCGGTCAGACAAAGCAAGCCCCCGTGTGCAAACGTCACACGCACCTATAACTCAGAGGTGGCACTTTTCCCCTCCTGTAACTTTTAATCTTTTGTCTCTCAACCAGGTGCCTTTTCCATAGTAAATGCAACTGGCCGGCAAAAGCAAATCGGACACATTAATAAGTCAACAATGCATTGCTTACAATGGGTCAGGAGGTATATGAGGATCCAGATTACTGTTTTTTCATCGTTCACCTGGCTGACGGAGCCTTTCAGAACCGCCTCCTCTTTCCTCAAGGTGTCTATTTATCTTCAGGGCATCTGTTTGTATCTCAATAGCTTGTTTTTGTGAATCATCTGGCAGCCCCTCTTCTTTAAAGTGTAGCATTTACCCCTGTTGCTTTTTTTCATTTGAACATTTCAGTTGCGTGTAATTCTGGAATTTTGCCTTGACACAAACACTTTCTGTGTGTTTCCTCCAGTCGAGTTTGATGACTGTGCGGGGAACGAAGACGTGCAGTTCGAGGTGTCGGACCCCAGCTTCTTTGTGGATGAAGATTTGAATCTGGTGCCCCGGCAAGATGTCCTGCGAAGCCAGCCGGTCCTGTCCATCCACGGGCTCAGTGCACACGCAGATGACACGGCACAGGTGGAAGTCACTGGACTTCCTGCTCAGTCGCCGCACACTCTCAGGGTTAGTAGAAATGTCCTTTGCATGTGTTTCTATGTGTTTCTTTTTGTGTGTTTTTTTGGTTTTCTATCAATTTTTCCATTTACACTTCATCAAAATGGGAAAGGGTACACATCATTAGAGATTGAAACGGTTACGTTAATGTAGCATAACTGAACTCAACGCAGCCATAATTAACAACAATTCCCATGGGTGAAAGAGAAGATTTACGACCTGCATTTTAGTTTGATATTTTGAGGAACACACTTATTTTCTTTCTTTGCCAAGATGTAGGTGACACGGTTTATTGCACTTTCATGCCTTCACTCCAAACAATTACTGCAAACAGCCAAAAAAAGAGTTTGGCTGCCAGGCTTTTATCAATTCAGCATTGAGTTGTTTTTTTTCACATTTGTTGTGCGTTTGGAACACATTGTTAATAAATGACCAGAAGAAGTTCTGATGGTTAAATGTCCTTATCTTTGCACAGAGCTAGCTTTAGCTCTTCTTTTCAGTCTTTGTGCTAAGCTAACTGGTTGCTGGCTTTGAGCTTGTTAATAATAGTAAGTAAATAGTTGTTGATGGTAATTAGTCATTATCACCATAGAAACCTCAGCAAAGTCTGTATTCCTGGATGACATAAGGAAAGCAGACTTTTCAGCTAACTGTTTTGGAGACAGTTACATGGTTATGTTGCTGTAAAAGGAAATGTTTAGTTAGCGTTTATTGGCTTTTTTGCTTAGATACCTCATGGTTAATTAGTTATGGTTTAAGGGCATCTACACATGTTACACATCCAGTGTTTTAATGATTGATTTATTATACCGTTAATAAATTAGTCAGTTAGTCCCTTTACATTGTGATTTATGGTTAATTGTAGCACTATGGCTAGTATATAGATTCTAATGAATGGATCTCAAAAACTACCACCCTCACAACCCGGCAAACTGTAAGCAGTTGGTGGCCATGTATAGATTCACAGATGTCTCAACAGGCATGCGAGTCGAGTACATTTGAAAGAAAAGGAAATAAGTTTATTTGTTAAACTATTCCTTTTGATGAGGGGACAAAATGGTTATTTTAGCATGGGATGCTTGGTTGGAGATCTAAACACGGACATTAAGAGTGATTCACAAGACGTTCATGCATTAGTGATCATTATTGCAGATTGCGAAAGACTTGACACTCATAAATGTAAGGCACGCTCAAACAAACTTAATTATTATCAATTGACATAATTCAAAGATGCCATATTAGGCAGTTGGGAAACACCCAGAACCGTAAACTTTCAAACCAAATGGATATTTGAAGAAAGTGCGAAATAACTTTAGTGATAAAGGTATTAAGGTCATGTAGTGTACTAAAAATATAAAGATCATATTTAAGAAAGTGGAGGCATTAAAGGGTCAGTGAACGATGACCGAGTAGTGGGAGAGTGCAGAGACGGTGATTGATGTTACATCCACCAAGGAAATTAAGTAAGGAAGAAAGAAAGGATTTTGAAATACTCAAGAGGAACACGTGAGAGGAGCTCAACAGCTGCTTAGCACTATCAAGCATATCATCGCCATCACCCTGGATGCGCATTTTCCTGCACTGCTGCAAGACACCAGAAACAACTGAGCCCAGAACTAAATCTGTCCGCGGGCTGATGAAGCTAATGTCTGATAGACAGTTAAGATTATTGATCCAGAATACTCGCCCTCGGAAATGTTATCCTTTGAAAAGGCGCTTTGGAACACTTTGGAATGTCCCAGTGACAGCGAAAGTGTTATTGACGGGTCCACCGTGGCGTTCACAAAGGTGTACTTTATACATGCTTTGATTCAGCATGAGGCAAAACGTGAAAGTCAGAATAAGGCAAAAAAAACCCTAAACATTAATAAATACCCCAACGTTGAGACATTTCTTGGTTTTACAATTATGATTCATGCACAAGGTCACTTGGAAAGGAGTGCAAACACTTTGCTACAGGGCAACATAAACAGCTGTAATGTTTTTGCACCGGGGGAATGGTGCATGAAAAGTTACTCTTTCACTGGCCACTTCCTATTTTGGCAGATAAGCCTGCATCTTTTTTTCTCCGCAAATGTGTCGCTTTGTCTGGCTACTCAACAGAAATGTGTTTCTGTAGCCAGTAAATTGCCTGCCTTTACAAAACTCGGTGCACCTGAATAAACACCATTGTGCCTCATTCATAATCTCCACCTACCTCCACTTTCCCTTTGCTTCCTCCAAATACACTAAGTTGATTAGGTGAAGTTCCAGGGGCTGCAGGTACAGTTGGTATCCCCCCCTCGTTTTCGCAGAGATTATCCGTCTTCCTGCCGCAGTCCTCAGAGTCCTGCAGCTACAATTCCTGCTGCCTGGAGCTTAATGAACGTCTCCCTCTCTTTGAGCGTGAAGTTGCTCTCGTCGCTCTATGCCGATCAATGGCTGTTACTTTGGCAAGTCATTGGGGATACAAGTGAATTAGTGTTATGTTTTGAGTTGTCTGTCTCGTACCTTTTGTCTCTGAGGAGCGCCTGGGAATGTCCTAAAATGTTTTCACAAATATCCACGTGAAGAAAACGATGCACTATTTGGTTTATTAATACATCTGTTAATTAATCATAACTTTGGAATCCTCAGCCGTACTTTCCCTTAGTGCAAACTATTAAAATGATAGCATTCTAATATGCTGAAGCACTTAGCATCAGCATGTTAACATTGTCATTGCGAGCATGTTAGCATGCTGATGTAAATCGTAATACACTGCTGCAACACCGAGCAGGTGTACTTTGGACTCGTTTTTGTAGTTTTGGCCATCAATTCTATGTGCTATGAAAACACTGGATCCACTGAGGTAATTGTTGGGAAAATGGTGACATGTTTTGCAGAGTAGAAAGTGCTTGGATATCAGACACATTGATCACACGTTTCATTATTATTACTAGAAGGGAAAGATGGCAAAAATGAATAAAATGATAATGTAGGCAACAGTGATTTGTTTAGAGCAGAGGTCTTCAACGTTTTTCAAGCCAAGGTCCCCTAAACTGATGGCGAGGTGGAGCAGGGACCCCCTACTCTACGGAGTTTTGGTTCGCCATCTTTATTTTTAGACGTGAGCATGAACGCAATCTGATTGGCTGGTTGCCTGCGCTGTCGTATCAGCATGAAAGGAGCAGTGAGTGAACCGGTGCCCAGCTTGAGAGCTGCTGAGGGAAGCTGAATGTGTGTTGCGGACTAACAGATAACGTCTTCTCCATCAATTTATCCGTTCGCTTCAAAATGTTGGATTCATGTTAATGTGTATTTGAAGACCATAAATAAAATTCTGATTCTGATTCTGAAGACATTTACATTTGTGGGGAAAAAAATTGTTTTAAAAAATTGTCTTATCAACCAAAAATTTTGCGACCCCCCTACAGTACCTTCTCGGACCCCCTGTTGAAGACATCTGGTTTAGAGAAAGAACATATTGGACATTATATATATATACACACTGTATATAGTTTGGGGAGCTGGGGAAAAAACGATATGAGAGAAGACGATCCTCTAGTGAAGCAGGGCGGTTCAAAGGCGTCATTATTTCACCATCAATTAATCTGCTGCAGCTCCTCATTCTCTGGGACTCGTATCGTGAGATGATCTATTGTCCTTTTCTCTGTCTATATTCTCTAGTGCCCCCCCACCTCCCCCCTCTCGCCCTCCACCTAATGCTTTTGCACCGTCTCAAGTGGCCCATCAAACAAAAGTTCAGTGCTGCAGCAGCTTCTAAAGAATCTGTAACTAACTCATGCCATATTTAAAAGCTTGTTTCAATGAGCCAGTGGGTTTGAATGATTTGTTGAATGGCTGCGTTGACTGCACTGGGGATGCTGAGATTTGAATCTCCGATATGAGATAGTGCTCTTGGCACCCTCCTTTTAAATTACCAGACCACGGAAAAGTTTTTTTTGCAGTAATTAAATTAAAACTTTTTAATGCTGCTGTCAAAGTTTTGTATTTTCCCAAAACCTCACTGTGGTTCCTCCGAGACACAGAGCGGAAGCATTCCATCGCAAATGGATCGGCATAGCTAATGTTATCGTAGCAGGAAATATTGGCTGGTGATAATTAATTTACTGTGAGAGAATTTTTTTTTCAATTCCTCAGCACGAGCTGTTAACTTGATGTAACGCAGGACCAGAGGGAGAGAGGCAGCTAATGAGTGATTTGCAGCACTGTATGAAAAGTGAGATTTTCGTCCCCGTAAACGCCCGGAAATCTCTCTAATTTCCGACACTTTCCGAAAATTTGCAACCCGCGCACGTCGCGTTTGTTTGTGCCACAAATTGTCGGAAACGAACCATGACGTAGGCGGAGAGCTGGCGGAGGTGCGAATGGCCCGAATTAGCATATGAATGCAGCGAAACTGCGGGTGGCCGAGCCGAGCGGGCTTGAATATCCTTACTCCTTATTGGATGAAACCACAACTTTCAATCACTCGTGATTGGTTGGCAGATCTGTCGCTATTGGTCACCCGCCTCATTTTATTTATATATATTTATATATTCATATTATGCTGTATATTCATTTCATGGTTATCCTATGTAGGCTACTACACTATTATTAGGATACCAACCAGGACATCAATGAATTTATAGAGAAAATGAACATTTGCCACATGTTTATGCAAAGAAAGAGCTTTATTAACAACACACAAACAACAACTACATACAAAGTGAGGATCTGCCCACACTTGGGTAACGGCGGTTTAAAAACTACAGCTCAGTAAACTGTCCGTTCGCCAACCTCGGGGTTGTAGACCGTCACTGGCGCCGTGTTTTCCGAGGCAGGTCTGTTGTGCAGGCGGCTCGTGTGTGTGTGGCGACCGTACAATCCACCCCGAAACCCCGCCAACAACGCCGTCCTCTCCGTCCGACGTGATCTCTACGGTGGCGGATTTCCAGAGTTCCACCTCGTCATCAGCCAGCACACTTTGTTTCGATTCCAGCAGCTGTAAAAACAACAATGAATCAGTACTGAGCGATGCGATGCGTATGGACACAACACATATATCAATGCACCTGAAAAAAGTCAGCAAATAAACTCTGACCCTCTTTCTTCTCGCTCGACTCCGCGCTGAATCCTTCGCAGCTTCCGCCCGCAATGAGTGTTCCGGCTGAACCTGAAGCTCCTGCGTCCCGTCTCTAAATAAGTCTTACAGGCGGCTGGAAAACAATTAAATGAGTGTGGTATGAATACAAAAAAATCAAACGCAAGTCACAGTAACGTTAAGGAGAAAAGGAAGGAGAAACAGTAAACGGTGTCACTTACACACAATGACGTCGTCTAAATCTGGACTTTTCCCGGAGCAAATACGAGGTCACCGCCTCATTATGAGGCGAGATTAGTCTGTGAAAACAAAATGTACAGTTATGATCGGTATCCATCCTATGGTATCTATACGTATATATTCCCTTATACCGCAGAATGAAAGCATATTATTTAAATCTGACCCGTGCTCCGGTTCGTGGCGCCTGTAATTCGTCTCGGAGTTGTGAAGACGACGCACCGCTTCCTGTAAACGACACGGCAAAGAAAACACACTTTAATAAAGCTGTTTCTGCTCATTTGTAAGGCTACTAGGCTACGCTTAGCTTTCGTTTGAGGCTACGCTACTTTTAGCTTAGCTAGCAGTCATCGAACGTATTCTTACCGCTATCTTGGGATTGTGCGCCCGTCTCCTCTTCTTTGAGTCAGTTCCTCTCCTCCATGGACAGAAACCCGGAGAGTCCCGAACGCTCCAATGGAGCGAACCGCTCGTTGATATTGGCAGTTTGTTGTTGGAGTTGACGAGACGATCCACTGAGAGCATTCAGCAGCTTCTTCTCGTCTGTCTGCGGACTGGCTGACAGTTGGTGACCGCGGAGAGGAGTTGAAGGCGAGTTGAAGGCGAGACGTCGTCCAGCCATTATTCACGAAGCAGCAAAAACCAAACAAAGGAACTGGAGATACAGTTCTTCTGAATATAGTAACACACACGTGTCTGTTTGTATGCTCGTCTTGCAAGTACTGCTGTCTGAGTCATGCCTATGACCTCACACGTGATTGGACGAGGAGTGTAAGGGTCCTCCAATCACATACGAGGTTATTGTTATACGGAAGGTCCAGTATTTTAGGAAGACAAATGGTTGGGACTTTTAAACAGCTGATATGCTTTATGTAAAGCAGTGTTTTGGTGTCAGCAGAACGACTTTCCCTAGAAAACTGTACAGTAGTGCCTCTTTCTCCATTCCACCAGACAATCTTGAGTCTGACATACATGCAATGTTGACAATGTATCATCAGATGTACCCGTGTGTCACTGAGGTTGAATGTTTTGCCATGACATATAAACGGGTAACATATAAGAATGTAACTTACTCAATCGATAGATGCAGAGCATAAAGGTCAGCATATGTTTATGCTAAGTGGTGTGGAAACACTAACAGTTTTGAGGAACCCGTCCTTGACCCTCTAGCAGAACTACGACCAGCCATTATAAAGCAGTTTATAGTTGTTAATGTTGTGTCAAAGGGTACGGCATTTAAACATGTTCGTGCACATGTTTCCTGGCTTCATCTCCACCCGGACAGACATTTTTATGGAAAGCCAATAGAAGTTTGGGGCTTGCAGGGAACAGACACGTCATACCCAGCATCATTTCTGCCAGTTGAGCGCATTGCTAGAAGATGTGTGGTTAATACATCCTCTGTGCATTTAAGTAAGACCAAAGAAAAGGTCGTTGTAGTCCTGCCACTATGCACTGTAGTCGAGCTCTAGGAGACTGTGATCTCTGCAGACCCCTCATGCTGATTCAAAAGTTGTTTGCATGGAATGCTCATTTTACCTTGATTAAAACACATTTTTTAAAGAAGTTATTTTGTGTATCTTTTTTACATAACATTTGCCATTGCTAATGGCGTACACAGTAATCTAGCATATTTCAATTAAATAAATCAATTCAAGCTAAAATGTAAGAGTCTATAATTAGGCTACTGAGCCTGATCTATTTGAACCAGAGATTTTCTTACCTTTTAAAAAAATGTCACCTGGGCTAAAACTCCCTCTGCGACCCTGATTTGCATTTGTATAGCTCACAGCATTTCATTTACATGTCAAAGCCTCCCCTAGAATTAGGAGGAGGGGGATCATGGGGGGACAACTGCCAAGGGAGGCCCACATCAATTTTCTGACAATTTACGGCAGTTTTAGGGCGTTGCCCGCAAATTGCCACAAACCTGAAATTCCACGACAATTTACAGTGCCGCATACTGCCGAAAATCCCACTTTTCATGCAGTGCAGAGTGTGGCTCCAACTTCCCTTTTCCCCTGAAAGCCCCAGCGGCGAGCCTTCTTTCATGTGCGGATCAGACGGCCAGCGCCTTGCCGCGCTGATCCACCTGCGAGAACATCGATGGGTTTTTAAGCACCTTCAGACCCCCTCCGGATCCACTGTATCTCAGTTCAGAGAAGACATGGATTTGACAGCATGATCTATCTTAGCCCTTAACCCCCGTCACCAGTCCTCACATCAAGCCCCCTTTAAATGATGCCACGGTGTCCGTGTGCCTCCCGGGTCTTCCTCCCCCTCCTTTACGAATATCCTACAGCTGAGGCCCGTGCGCGACGCCGTCAATTCGCTCATCCCAGGGCTTCAGACTGAGGCCAAGGTTGTCACAGGTGGTGCTTAAAAGTCCATCAGATCGCTTGTGAACGGGTCACAAACACGTACACACGCCACTGCCCGTGCAGCGTCCTGCTCAACCGCGCCAGGTCCGGTTTTAGATTCGGACATTTGAAAGTTCACCCCTCAGTGGGTCTGATGGGAGAAGTCATTTCAGCGACTGTGCTGTGTGACCTTGATTTGTTCTGCTCGGCCTGTGTTTAGGATTACCGTGTCATTGTGTTCCCCCTGACCTTTGTAGGTGGGAGGTGGAGGAGGAAAGGGGAGACGGGGGGGGGTTGAGGTAGTTTGTGTTTGCCATGGCAAAGTCTCTGTCAGCCGAGAACAGGAGTGTGAACAGCAAACATGCAAACAGTCCCGCACACACACGCGGCTGTGTGAAGTGCACATTGTCAATAAAGGGTTGTACAGTAGGCTATAAAAGATAAAAGACAAAAGGAGACGGGAACCTCAGGTTGGTGTTTTTGAAACGGTGTAGTTGTTGTGAACGGCACTCAAGGACTTGGCTTGTTGCTGTGTAGTTTCTTTCACTGTCGTTGTTCTGTCATTTTGCTCAATATTTAGGCGGGAGCGTCTTTGTTCGGACAATGGACTGCCGTTGAATTGGACAAATCGCATTAGTGTGGGGAATGTTCACTGAAATCCAATTCAGTCATCCAATTTCCTGTCAAAAATCTTTGTTACCATGATTGTCGCGGCCTTTTGGAACGCACAGGGATGGAGGCCGTAAACGCTGGCGAGCACCAGCTCATCCGTGTTCGGGGGTCAAGAGGTGGGATATACAATAATAAACAAAACTTCACCTTAACAACCCAAAAATAAAACGGAAACAATAATGAACTCCGGTTGGGAAAAGTAAACAAAGTAAAGTAAACAAAGTGTTTTGTTAGAAATGGTAATGAAGGAAAGAGGGAACCATAATATTATCTCAACAGGCAGGAATTAACTGAATGAAGCTCATCTAAGCTTTCGTTAGCAAGCTAACTAATTACCTAAATAGCCGGCAAACTGAAGTCAGACGTGGAATTTCACAAGTGGACGTTAGTTTGGTTGCCAGTTTGAAGACGCTCCAGTAACTTTACTTGTTAAAATAACACCTAGACCACATATTCTACCCGATTAAGTCCACGTGATCGTATCACCTGATTTTGGTTTGGTTTGGTTTTGTGCTTTGGTGTTGTTGTTGCCCCCTTTGATAATGGGTGGCAAATTAGCTCTCTATGGCGATAATGGCTTTTCTCCTCGACCGATGATTTTGGGAGATCAGGACAAGTAGGTCGTTACAGAGATAAATAGAGCAGAACGAACGACAATGAAAGGAAATGGAGAACGTTAGTCAGTTTAATTTAAATTGATGCACTTTTGTCCAGCGAAGCCGGCGGATGTGATGCATTTGTACGGGTACGGCAGGGCGTCTGTTAGTGTATTCGTTGCCTCCCATCGGCTCGTGTGGGTCAGCACCTCCTTGTCAACAGCCAGGATTCCAGCATGAAGTGTCAGTGACGTTATTTTCATCACATCCAATCAGAGCGGCCCCAAGTGTATCAGTGCTCTGAAAGTGAAGAAGAGTGGGGAAAAATGTCAAAGAAAATCATATCGACTCTTATTATAGAACCTACCGCTCTGCTCGGGAAATGTTTAAGCATTTCAAAATGCATATTCACTGCCTGCTGTGTGTGTACCGTTATGCCTGGTTGTTGGGGATGAGGCTAACGGCTAACAAAATGCTAACAACTCATTTTGGGGGAGTGATGTTGTCAACACTGTGGCCTGTTGTTTCAACATTCACACTATGGTTTCTCCTCTTTGTGCGTTAGTGTGTCCTGGGTGTGGGCCAGACGCTGCCGTTCAGGTCAAAGAGATCCCTGCTGATCCCTCCGATGATCGTGACCGAGAACCAGAGAGCTCCTTTTCCCAGGAAAATTGGCACGGTAAGAAAAACATTGTCCCATTATGAATGACTAACATTGTCCCATTATGAAAGATCTCTTATTTTTATATCTATTGTTAACATAGTCTATTTGTGTCCTACATTAATATCATGCGTTCCAGGTTGTAGGAAGTGTAGCCTCACCCTATGCAGGCTCAACAATTCTCCCCCAACAGGAAGCATTCTTTCCTCTGACTGTTTATCCCATCCTGTATTTTTGGGGAGCTTGTAATCATTTTACTTCAGTGAGTTTTAGGTGAGTGAAATTTCATTTTTTTTGGTTCAAATGTCTTCGACCCATCGGGATGAGAGACAAACTGACGAAGAGCCAACAATGAACGCGGTAGCTTAAAGAGTTTCTATTACTTCAGACTGACATTTTATAGCTATTTATCACTCATGCCAATCTGTCTGAAGGTCTGAAGCAGACTACGCCGCGATGCTCCTGCTCGAACAACGACTTCAGTGCCCGTAGCTCATGCGGTGGTCTTCTGAATGCTGCTGTGGGCTAACAGATAAGGCCCAGGGACCAAAGCCATGCACGGGACACTCTTTATCTCAAAGTGACAATGACAGACTTGCTGTCCCAGATCAGAGTGCATGTCACTGATAGGGCTCAAGACCAGGCTCATGCAAGGATGTCAATAACTTGTGTTGCCCTCGTATTTTCTCTCTCGCACCGAGACCAGTCGCACCGAGGAGCAGCTCTGCTCATTTTGTCCACTTTCACCTCTGCCAACGGCAATCGCTTAACAAAACAAAGAGCAGGAGCTCCTGGATACTTACAAAACCAGTGGGATTATATTTTCTTTTAGATAAAACGGGCATTTTTCAATATTTTTACGACTTCCTCAACACTACGCGAGGAGGCCTACCAAACAAGATAAGCCTGAGCCTGTGCTACAGTGCTAAAGGTAATTAGCAGAAGATGCCTCCCTTCTCTACGGAAGATTACCACAAACTCGTACAGATTTTACTGCTGGAAACAAAAGTTAATCGGTTAGAGGTAAATGTAAAAGTAAATGGACCATGTGGGAACAACACCACTCTAGCAATGACTCAAAACAGTGGACAAGAGCATGCTAGAACCCAGTTAACTAGCAATGATGGAACTATGAAAATACTGGAGGACTCTGTACAGGGTAATAAATCTACCAGCGACAATCCTCCCTGGACCACACTTGGTGCAAAGCCAAAGAGAAGACCAGACAAGGGAGAACGGATAACTGGCAGGACCCAGCGGCCCAATATCTGTGATCTGGCCGACTGGCCTGCGTTACCATCCAGGCATAATGCCTCCTCAACCCCCGTGCTTCGTAGAACGAAGCAGCGGACAACTGAAGAGGGGAAATACCAAGAAACCTCCCCAGCAAACAGGTGTAAAACTACAAAACAGGTTTGCTCCACTGTTGCAGGACCATGGATCCCCCTCTAAATTTATGGATAACCCTCCACCACCACGCAGCAGGGTAAGACCTGCTAACTTAAAGCCACAGAGAAAGCTAACGACAGGGCCTGAAAATCTGATTGTGGCTGATTTTTCTGTAAAAGATATGAAAAGTAGTAACGACACCAAAGTACTCTGCTTCACGGAGGATATGGTGTCTGACTTGAAAGAAAGAATTTTGGAAATTGTGGCTGAACACCCAACTGTGAAAAATTTAATTCTGCACATTGGCTCTAATGACATTGAAAAACAACAATCAGAAAAGTTGAAAGAGCACTTCGATAATCTCCTAGAAACAGTCAGCTCTGTGAATGCTGAGGTGTTTATCAGTGGTCCTCTGCCCCCAACCGGGAGAGGAGCTGAGAGATTCAGTAGACTGTTTTGGCTCAACAAATTGCTCTTAACTGCATGTGCAGTTCGTTCAATGCATTGTATCAACAATTTTTGCTTTTTCTGGGACCGCAGGCATCTTTTTAAGACAAATGGACTTTGCCTGAATAAGATGGGAGCAAAGCTTTTCATTACAAACGTGTTTTACATCATGCGTCATCCATCTGTCCCCATTGCCAAGGACACGAGACAAGAAGAGGAGGCCACAAAGAAGGAAGAGAAAACACAGCTTATCAGAAACGTCGAAGGAGGACCGCCAATGCCATCCCCCTCTAACCCTCCTTCCATTACGTGTGAGCATCCCTCTCCCACCTCCCCAGAGCCCCCATCCAGGTCCACGCCTCCCTCTTTCTCCCTCCCTTCAGTAAACCATTCTCCCCCCTCCTCCCCCTTGGAGTTCCAAGAGTTACCCCCACTTACCCCCCGCCCTACTCCTATTTTTACTCCCTTAGATCGACCTCAGCGCCCTCCCCCCCAGCGTCCACCTGCACCAGCTCATCTCAGCGGTGACGCCATCTTACGCCGATCTGCCCCCCCACCTCTACGAAGACGTGCTCCACCTCCACAAATCCATCCCAGCTGTGACGCTGCTCACTCCCCCCCCTTATGCCCACCCCCTCCTCCTCCTGACAGCAGCCCTGAATATTACTGAGATAGAAAAGGGTTCAGCAGTAGACCGCATTATCAGCTGGACTCAAGGTCGCCTACGTCAAAACATGGCACCTTCTGCATTCCTGTTGTGACCACCAAGAGAGTGAACACTGCTAATCTAACAAATCTCATTCCTATTCTCTCCAGCTCAAAGTCAACCCCAAAGCCTGTGAATTCTGAACATTTTTTCGATGATTTTGCTGAATTATTGTCTAGCATTTCTACCAATTTTGACTGTCTAGTTATAACTGGTGACTTTAATTTTCATACTGGCGATTTGCATGACAAGGGTGCAAAAGAACTTTTGACTATTTTAGACACATTTGAACTGTCTCAACATATGAAAGAGGCTACTCATTTTAAGGGACACACCCTGGACCTGATTATCACAAAAGGTCTCATTGTTTTGGATGTTTTTGTGACTGATCCCTCATTGTCTGACCACTTCTGTGTTTTCTTTAATATTTCTTTCATTCCCGACACACTGTCAAAAAACGGTACATCAATGAACATACTAATGTACTCTTTAAAAATGTAATCTCCTCGTTACCACCTCTAATCCCATGTCATGCTGATAATCTTGTAAACAACTTTAATTCCAAAATTTTGAATGTTATAGATGACATTGCACCTGTTACGGTTAAAACCAGTTCTAGTAAGCAAAAGGCACCTTGGAGAAAAGCTGCTGCTGTAACAGCCCAGAGAAGAGAGTGCAGGAAGGCTGAACGAATCTGGCGGAATACAAAACTTCATATTCACCATGACATCTATAAAGAGCGCCTCCGGGCCTACAATTTAGACTTAAAAAGTGCTAGGGAAACATTCTTCTCCAACATCATTAACAACAACACTAATAAGGCAAAAACCCTATTTGGAACTGTTGACAGACTGACCAACCCCCCAACACAAATACCACCTGAACTCCATTCCACACAGAAATGCAATGGGTTTGCGTTCTTTTATACTGATAAAATTGAAGGCATCAGACGCGCCATTAATATCTCAAACAAAAATGTTGGATCACCACCCTATTTAGGCAAAAGTAACACAGCAATGATGACAAGCTTTAATGCCATAGACTCTCAAACTCTAGTGGAAACGGTGACAAATTTAAAACCATCCACCTGCTGTCTTGATGCTCTACCTACCAACTTCTTTAAGAATGTTTTTGACTGTCTAGCAACAGACGTATTGCAAATAGTTAATAACTATTCAGACAGGCCATTTCCCAAAAGCTTTCAAAACTGCAGTTATTAAACCTCTCCTAAAAAAGCGGAGCCTAGATGCCTCTATTATCATCAAAGACAGACCAATTTCAAATCTACCTTTCATAAGTAAAATACAACAGCTTAATCACTTCCTGGCTTTAACTGGCTGCCACGACAATTTCCAGTCAGGATTTCGACCTCTTCATAGCACCGAGACGGCCCTTATTAAAGTTGTAAATGACATTTGTCTTAACACAGACTCTGGCAAAACTTCAATATTAATGCTATTAGACCTCAGTGCTGCATTTGATACTGTCGACCACTCAATACTTTTGGACAGGTTGGAAATCTGGTTGGGGCTCTCAGGCACAGTCTTAAGCTGGTTCAGGTCATATCTACAAGACAGGAAGTATTTTGTTTCCATTGGTGACTTCGTATCAGAAACAACCGACGTAACGTGTGGAGTCCCCCAAGGTTCGATCTTAGGGCCGACTTTATTCAACATCTACATGCTCCCACTAGGACAAATCATGCAAAGAAATAAAATTGACCACCATTGCTACGCTGATGACACCCAAATCTATGTAGCGCTATCACCAAACGACTATCGCCCCATAGATCTTCTGTGCCAGTGCATTGAGCAAATCAAAGACTGGATGTGTCAAAATTTCCTACAACTAAATGAAGACAAAACTGAGATCATTGTATTTGGTGCTGAAAAAGAAAGGTTTAAAGTAACCCAACACCTTCACTCTCTGTCCCTGAAAACATCAAATAAAGCCAGAAATCTGGGGGTTATTATGGATTCAGATTTACACTTGGAGAGTTACATCAAATCAGTAACAAAATCGGCCTACTACCACCTCAAAAATGTAGCACGACTTAGAGGGCTCATGTCAGCTCAGGACTTGAAACACTTGTACATGCCTTTATAACTAGTAGGCTAGACTATTATAATGGTCTCCTTGCAGGTCTTCCAAAAAAAACTGTCAGGCAGCTCCAGCTTGTTCAGAACGCTGCTGCTAGAGTTCTAACAAAGACCAAAAAATGTGAGCACATTACACCAATTCTTAAATCCTTCCATTGGCTCCCAGTATGTCAGAGAATTAATTTCAAAATCCTACTGCTCACATATAAATCACTACATGGTTTAGGGCCAAAGTATATCACTGATATGCTTCCACTACATAAGCCTTCAAGATCACTAAGATCTTCTGACACCAATCTGTTAGTGATTCCTGCAGTAAATACAAATCATGGGAAAGCATCATTTAGTTACTACGCAACAAACAGCTGGAATAAACTTCCTGAAGATTTAAGACTTGCCCCAACTCTGACCACGTTTTAAAACAAGACTGAAAACTTTTATGTTCAGCTTCGCCTTCTGCTAAATTTGACCTACATTGCACTTTTAACCTCTGCCTTTAATTAAACAATTTAAATAAGATTTTAATTTATAATTTTAATTTGCTGTTTTGAATTGTCTTTTAATTCCTGCATTTTATTTCACTTTATTGTATGTGAAGCACTTTGAATCTGACTTGTGTATGAAAAGCGCTATACAAATAAAATTGCCTTGCCCTGCCTTGAGGGATGTTGATCGTCATACCCACTAGTGATCAATGAGGTCTGGACTTTTATTAACAGTGCCAAGATATAACTAAGTTGAATTTTGTGCAGTAAAATATACAGTATTGTGGTGACCCACAAGTAACGCTGGAGAGACATTCACCAAGGGACTGTACCTTTAAGGGAAAGTGTTTTTGATGTGAGGTTTTAACGTGCGTGGCCACGGTAGTTCTCACGTGTTGCGAGTTGATATGTATTATTGAAGTGGAGACTAAAGTGGACTCAACGCAACGACTCCGTCTCCTGTCTCGTCACTTTTCACTCTCCACATTTTGGTGACCCCGACGCTTGAACACGGCTGATCACGTCGAACAACGACGGTGGTGAGAATGCTGCTGCTGCGGTGCCGGCCGCTGTTAGCGGCGCGGCTAATGTCGGCGCTATCTACGCAGCCACCATCAAGCTACCGGACTTTTGGCAGTGCAACTTGCGGCCGTGGTTTCAACACATCAAGGCTCAGTTCCAGCTGAGAGGAATTACGCAGGATGTTACTAAGTATTTCCACGTTGTTTCGGCCTTGGATGCCTCGACGACGGCCAGGGCTATGGCACTGTTGGAGCCTCCTCCAGCTAACGGCAAGTACGACGCACTCAAAACATTCCTGTTAAAACTCTTTGAACTGTTTGAGCCGGAGAAAGCAGACCGTCTGCTGTCCCTGAATAGCCTTGGTGACGGCAAGCCGTCCGAGTTGATGGAGAGGATGCTGGCTGGGCTGGGCGCCGCGGATCCCTCGTTCCTCTTCGCCCACATATTCCTGCGGCAGCTTCCAGCGCCCGTGCGCACCGCGCTGGCCTGCTCCGCCGTCACTTCCTCCATGGACTATCAGGCGCTGGCTTTGGAGGCAGACAGGATTTTCCTCGCCAACCGGCAGAAGTTTGTCCACGCGCTGCTACCCCCCCAGCACACGTCTGTTTCGATCCACCCCCGGAGGACGGCCTGGACACTGCAGCGTCTGTAACGGCCCGCCAACAGCGGGAGGACGGGTGGTGTTATTACCATTCCAGGTTTGGGGCCAAGGCCAAGCAGTGTCGCCAGCCTTGCAGTTTTGGGGCCCAGGAAAAAGCCAGTGCCGGCGCTTATAAGCAGTTATGGGCGCTGGCCGTGACTGCAAGCTGTTATTCGTCGCTGACACATTGTCCGGCCGGCGGCTGCTGGTCGATTCGGGGGCTCAGCGCAGCATCCTGCCGGCGAAGCCTGTGGACACCATGGCTGGCGGGCATGGCCCCCCGATGGACGCCGCCAACGGCACGCCCATTCGTACCTACGGCACGAGGTATGTGGAAGTGTGTTTACAAGATTTCTCCGCCCACCTAGCTGGTGCCACAATCTTTTCGAAGGTGGACCTGGTGCGCGGTTACCACCAGGTGCCCGTCCGCCTGCAGGATGTTCCCAAGACGGCAGTCATCACGCCCTTTGGCCTTTTCAAATTCCTACGGATGCCTTTCGGCCTCAAGGGTGCGGCGCAGACGTTTCAGCGCCTCATGGACTCTGTGCTACGGGACATGCCGTTCCTGTTTGTTTACTTGGACGACATTCTTGTGGCCAGCGCGTCCGCAGACGACCACCTGACGCATCTCCGGAAGCTGTTTGGCCGGCTCAGTGAGCATGGTCTCATCATCAATCCGGCCAAGTGCGAGTTTGGCCAGTCGTCCATCACTTTTCTCGGCAACCACGTCACCCCGCAGGGAGCCGTACCCCTCCCAGCCAAGGTGGAGGCCGTCGCCGGTTTCCCACGCCCACGCACTGTGAAGTCCCTGCAGGAGTTCCTGGGCATGGTGAATTTCTACAACCGTTTCCTTCCCCATGCGGCACAACTCATGCGACCATTGTATGACGCCTTGCGGGGTCGGAGGCCGGCGGAGGTGTTGGATTGGTCCGCAGGGATGGCTGCTGCTTTTGATGCTGCCAAAACCGCGCTGGCCAACGCTGCTCTGCTGGCACATCCGTCTCCTACCGCCCCAGTTGCTCTTACGCTGTGGGGGCTGTGTGTGAACAGTGGGTAGGCGGAGACTGCCAGCCGCTGGCCTTTTTCAGCAGGAAGCTCCGTGACAACGAGAGGAAATACAGCTCCTTCGACAGGAATCAGGAATCAGGATCAGGAATCAGGAAACATTTATTTGCCAAAATATGCTAAACATACAAGGAATTTGTCTTGGCGGTTAGTGCGCGACAGTAGACAGACAAGACAACAGTGCACAAGTAATAAAATAAAGTAGAATGAAATGCTAATGCAATGGGTTAGTAGAATAAGGCTATGGGTTAGTATAAAACAAGGGAATAAAGTTAAAAATGTTAAATATTAAAAAAGTTGAAAAGAAAAATATTAACGAACGCACTAACGAACAAGTAACAGACAAGTAACAAAGTGACGAGTGACGACAAAGTGATGAATGGCAGTTAAAGTGGCATGTGCAGTGTGGAGGGGAGTGACCGGTGGAATGTTATAGTCA